ACCAGTACTGCAGTTTCTCCATTTCTCACTCATGTTTATAAACTTATATGGACGAAATAGTTAAACATAAACAAACAAACTGGTATATCACACATATAGCAAGAAACCCTAGTGATGTCGCGACCATTCTGAGGAGTCCACTACTCTAGAAGGCAATGCATAAGTAAGCATCAGCCAATGTGTTCCACTAGATCGACTGCATGGACATAAACAATTTTTGCAATACTGACAAAAGTCTGAAAAAATGTGTGAAATATTAAAATGATCAAAAGTAGAATGTGCAACCATCAATGGCCACCTCATTAAACTTAGAACTTTACTTTAGCACTTTGAATAACAATCATATGCTTGAACATATATCTGTAACCAGAATGGGATTGGATATGCAGGAGTTCACTGATGCAGCATACCTAACAGTATACCAGAATGAGGCTGTTGAGCTCAAGACATTTGATCTTTATGCAGTATTAATACTTATGATTATGGGGGGAAAAAAAGCTAACAGCAGAAAACATCTAGCAGAAAAGCTTTTGAAAGGATTCAGAGTAGCACAATAAGTCAATATCATCAGCATGGATTATGAAAGCATTTGAAACCTTGAGCAGTCTGGGGTAATACAACAAACCTTGCGGGTATTGTTGAGTAGGGTTCTTAAGATTAAAGACATGACTTTTTAATGGCACCATCTACGAGTAACATTCCTCAGCCAAAATACTGTCATAGCACAATGCAATCAAATGCACCTATATTTCTGACTCAGCCTGTATAAAGCCATACATAAATTCAAAACTTAAAACATTACTTGAAAGTATATTTATTAATACATAAATTACTATAATATTTAATGAATATAAAAAAGGAAATATCTGTATTAGTTTAACTGTAAAAATATGACACTCGCATTTAACATTTTCAGGTCTTCTGTGTGATATGATTTCTAATGCACTACATCTTCACTGTCCGCCTCTAATTGCCATTTGAATTTATACATATAAGCTCAAATAAATCTCATTTAGGAAACTATGAAATTTCTTAGGTCCTGAGCCACTAATTTAGGATACAAATGTATACTCAAGGCTTAAAATATCTTAAAAGTTGCTTATGAAATATCATCTCATAAAAATGTCTCACAAAAACTTTAATCTGAAAGTTTAATAAAGTTGGTATTAAAATATTCATTGAAATGTGCATCGCTAGTTCATATACAATATATGTTTAGTATTCAGTATGTCTACCCTGCTTGCATTTAAACTCTCTGAGGCAGCCACATCCTCACAACACAAATATTTTCTCAATACAAATTATCTCTCAGCTGCTCGAAAAAAGCTGCAACAGCACTTGATATTCCATAGTATTTGCTGCTATTAATAAAAGTCTGCTTTGGTTTATGTAATTATGACAAAGCCTCAAGGGCTGGCTATAGGAATGGATACCTTTGTGGAGGACCTTTCTAAGGGTAACTGGCTCATATACACATTACACATAGGGAAAACCATGAAAACGGCCGTGCACTCAGCCAGTTTGTAGGACTCAAACCTCAAATCGAACTATCTATATTCAGCGGGTTTACCGCTCTGCCACTGGTAAACTGGTTGCATAGATTAATACCATGGTTCTTTGGTAGCCACATTAATTGCTCTGAAAACATTCAGTATACTTTTCAGACATCATATTGAATTAAAAATGGGAAATGCAGACATTTATGGGACGCATCTCAATATCCATTACTTTATTGTATTCAATTTCAGTCTGGAAATGCTCCCGATTTTTTACATAAGAATTGAGAAGAATTTAGAATTGAGGCTTGTCTGAAAACAGTCATCAGAAATCTAGGGTCAGTTCATTTTGAAGAGGTTGTATGCCAAAAGTTCGAGCTATTGAACATGTCCTGCATACTGGACTGAATTATAAAGTTATAGCAAAGGATGCAGTGCTACCTGCTTAAGTGTATGGATGCCTTTCTAAGAGGAACTAGCTCATATTCAACATTACAAATCTATTCATATTAAAACCATGAAAATTCTCATGCAGCCAACTCATTTACCAGGACTGGAACCAATGCAAAACTACCAGTGTTTAGTGATTTCACCACTCAGCCACTGCTTGCCACAGCATGTTGGCTAGCCATACAAATTACGATGATTTTTTTAATAGCAACTTTTCTGTTACATGTTGAAAAATAAACGTATGGTTAAAATGAAGTTAAAAATGAAATAAAATAGTTTAGGTTGAAATACTGAAACCACATTTAAATAGAAACAGCAGATAAGCAGCAAGAAGGTCATTTATGGCAGCATGAATGTTGGATAGCTTGGCTCAAATTTTCATCCAGTACGTAGAAAACTTTGCCTTCACTAAGTTCCCCTAATTATTCTATTTTCGGAGGAAGTATTTTGATGATACACGCTGGTTTCCAAAAATTAAGGAAAATTCAGAAAACTAGCAATAAATCATTCAAAAATATGCCAAATCCATATAAAATTTGAATATGTTGTGAAGTAAGACATGCTGAGTAAAACTGAAGAATGCAATCGGAATATATCATCTGTGAAAAACATAAAATTGCATGTTTGACAAAATTTCGCTGCGATAAGAAATCTGGGATAGCCAATCCGTAACAATGACCTCCAGATATTTATCTGAAGAACTGCGATGGAGAGCTATTGGGAGACTAGTGGCAGGACAAAGAAGTGTCCAGATGGCTAAATGTGACTCCTTTTGTGGTTCATAGATTTTGGCAACAATATCTAACCACAGCTTTGGAATGGAGGAGGTTCAGCCAAGAACAGCAAGCAGTTACAACAGGTGCTAATGACTAATACTTGCTGTCATGCGAATGAAGGAATAGAACAGCAACTCCAACTCGGCCCAAATCCTCCCTTGCTGTGCAATGTCAAACATGCATAGAAGGCTTCACGAAGGAGATCTCTACGCAAGGGGACCAGCGATTTTTTCTTGTTTTCATGTGACATTATAAAAAGGAATGTATGAGGTGGGCATGTCAATATGTCCATTGTATGGCTGATCAATGGAGGGATGTTTTCTTCATCATTATATGGCTGATCAATGGAGGGATTCTTTCTTGGATGGGTCCAGGTTTAGCCTCCAAAGGTCTGTTTGACAGACTAAAGACAGCAGTTATTTGATTTGGAGAGAACCTGGAACCCATTATCATGCATCAAATATTGAACACAGAGATGCATATGGAGGAGGCAGTGTCAGTGTTGGGCTGTTATCTCTTTGGGTGGACGTGAAGACCTCCACGTCTTTCCACATGGAACCCGGAATGCTCAGACCTATAGAGATAACATCCTTGATGCTTAAGTGCACCCTCATGCCAGGGAAACAGGTGATGATTTCCTACTGCAGGAAGACAAAGCAAGATCAGACAGGGCTCACATAACACATGATAATCTTCAGCAGCAAACAATTCAGTGCATTGAATGGTTAACTTGATCATCAGAATTGAATCCTATTGACCATGTTTGGAATCCTTTGGGAAGACAACAGCTGCTCATAATCTTCTCCAGATTCTTGCCCTACTTGCAACTGCTTTACAAGAGCAATGTCTCTCATTTCCTATAGAACAGACAGACTGTATAATGACAGCATTACACATTGCTGTATTGCTTCTACGGAAGCTCATACTCTACATTGAAGATAATTCTCCTATACCAAACTGACACTTGTGATTTGTTCACTTTATACATATGCTAATTTCTGAAACATAATTGCCTGATAATTTCTTTTAATGTTATTTGATACCTTATTATGTGCTGTGTACTGTGGGTAAACTTCATTAAATTCTACATGTAACTTTTCAAGTAATTGTCAATTTTGTGATTTTTCCTTAATTTATGATAACAAGTGTACTTGTCATAAGGAAACATTCAAAAGATGAACTCAAAATGCTGTTTTGATTTATTTCAGAAAACTACCCCAACCTGCAGTTGATGATTAAGCACACAGCATTCAATTTCTTGGTTCTTTAATTTTTAAAAATAGTCATATCAGAAACCAACTGGTACCAGTAAATATCCAGTACGACTCTTCATCCTTCATTCACCCACATAAAACAACTGTTTTTTTGTTTTTAGTTAAGGCATGTCAGAGATTTCTTTTGGCATCAGAGTTTAATGAAAATGAATATAAATGCACATCACAAACTGCAGAAAACAACAGATAGCCTTCCGAGTTCGTGTAAAAAATTACCAAGAAAATCAACAGACAAGCTTATGCAGTTAATTCTCAAAATTTAAAGTTGTTACTGATGCAAGAATTGAATAAAATTACATTTGTTGAAACTTTAATACTCAATCACTCGATGCATCAACTCTGTTTTCAATGATTTGGTCATAAACTTGACATTACCCCAGCTACACCCATCTGGATATTGTAACAAACAGATACAGCAACCATTGCTACAAAATACACTTTAGGTGTGTAAGCTATTCTCATCTGCAATGAAGATACAAATACAAAAAATCAATATATGAATTAAATATCTGGAAAACTATCAATAAGGATATGAGTGAAAAAAAGAAAATTCTCTGCTAACCAGTTGACCAAAAACAGCACACCTTCAGTTATATACTTCTCTATACATCCACACTCCTAACCTAAATCCACACCTAAATGAGACAGTATCAAAAATCATCACCAAACTGTGCTGCAATATGGACCTTTCCTTCAACCTTCCACACATCAGGACATTGATTCAGAGTAGAGCAACCCTACAACAAGCAATCGAAGCCAAACTTGAAATTTCATTAACCCATTTATTTCAGCAACTGCTGACTAAGCAGATGAGCCATCAACAAAAGTACCTACTTTTAATTTTGCTTAAACACAACTTCAGCATGTCAACCTAAAATATTTGATCTCACAACTTTTCCGTTACATTCTTCATATTAAAAAAAAATTTTGGTGCATTACTTTTCACGCACCACCTGCTCATACAATATACTAATTTAGAAAATAATAAAATACAGAAAACTTACTTTGTCGAGTGATCTAGGTAATATAACAGTCGTTCCCATTCCTCGACAATGCGCCTGTCAACATGTGCCAAATATAAAGGAACTTCCAATTCCTGCATCAATCGCTGGCCTTCTGCTGCATATAACTGTTCAGATGCTTCGAGAAACTTCACTTCAAAAGCTTGTTGGTATATCTAAAGACATGCATAAGCCCAAAATAATTTTTCTGAACTTAGGAGAAAGGCTATTTATACAAGACACAATATATAAGTTTTAAAATTTAAAAAGCCTCATAAATATATATATATATATATATATATATAAAAATTATGATGATAAATATTAGAATGCACATTGAAAAGGGAATAAAAGTAGTGTGCGCATGGCACTTTCCCTACAGACGAGATCATCCATATGTGTCAGAATTTCTTCCAGCAGCACAGACTCTACAAGGGGATAGGCGTACCTGCATAAATCCTTCAATAATTTGAGTCTCAATCTCAAAAGCCCTAAGTTTAGTTTCTAACTTATATAAATCGGATTATCACACTTCCAACACTGGCAGCTTGAGCCAAAACCTAGCTTAAGAGTTTGCAAATACAGATTTCCACCAGTAATTTATTGCATGCAGAAATTAATTTTAGATGCTTGACACCTTCTCTATAGTTTACAAATGAAGGAAAGTATCTATGAGCTCTCTTGCTGGGGATCCAGCAACATTAGCCTGTAATAGGTACTGAAATTTGTGATCACTATATTCGTATCTGTATTGTCCTCAAATCCTAACTAATTTTGCATTCCCCCACCGAGTTTCTGAAGTTCCAACTTTGCCACTTTAAATTTATTCTTACTTAAATTTTCTAAAATTTCAGTTGCAACTACAGGAATAAAACATACCCTTTTATTTTCAACTCTTGTTTTTGAATTGATATATTTATCATGATATGCTTCATTAGTTTCAAAACCAATCAAACACTTATTTTCCTTTTTGGCTTTTAGCAAAAGAACAGAAATTTTCTCTCCTCTTCAGCCTTTTCTAGTTTATTAAATTTACCTCCTAATTTGTGAGTTCAATACTTCGGGTTGATCTATTGCCATGTCAGCCTTTAGAGTTTCTGCTTCTAAAGCATTGGCGGTAATTGTCAATGAGTACCTCAGAGGCTTATGCTTTCATTATAAATCATCCATCTTTCAAAGATTTATTAAAATTATGAAACTCATTTGATATAGTTCTGCTATGAAACTGTGGCTCTGTTTTCTTTAGATCACCATTCAATCTTGATGTAGGACAACAGATGTGTAAAATCTAATGAACTAAGTTTATTTTAAGAATTAAGGATGAGTCACTCAGATGGTTTAGTAATTTGGGCAGCCGACCATGATGTTGAAGGGCCTGGGTTCGAAGCCTGGAGAAGGAATGGTTGCAATTGTCTATCCCTTCATAGGAGGTAATGGTGGCCGCCAGTTAGGTGCTTCCATAATAAAATGTCCATTACTTCTGGCCTTAGGAGGGGCCAATGCTGAACAGGCAAGTGCTTATCATTAGGTTTAAATAAAACGGAATTAAAAATGAATGAAAACAAGTTTTAAAGAGGAAAAACTTTTTTAATTAACAAAGGCTGGAAGATCTTTTTGTTAATCATCTTTTTCTTTAGAACTCAAAATTCAAAACTAAACAAATCATAAATCGTTGACACAAGACTTTTATTATAATAAACATCCTAAATTAAACTATAAACATTGAGTTCATTTATGTTCTTAAACAGTGACGCTACACTGCAGACAGGAAACATTTATTAGAACCTCAAGCCGAAGTACTTTAGGACTACAGAGATGAGTTGCTAACAGAAAATGACTTATTTTTCAAAGGAAGCAAATCAATTATCCGTTTATCTATGCAAAAAGAGATGTTAAATTTAATACAACAGGGTCACTTTGGTATAGAAAAATGTAAGAAAAAAGCTAGATCTGTTTTGTTTTGACCACTTATGAACAAGGAAACAGAAGATAACCTTTCAAAATGTCCTATATGTAATGATATGAGAACAAAAACATACAGAAACTTAAGATATCATATAATGTTCCTAATTTATCTTAGTTCGACAGTACAGTACAAAGTACAACGTTCGACATCCACTTCGGCAATTCCGGATTTGGGATTATTCTGGATATTAGATCATCATTTTAAATCTAATAAGATGGCATGTAGAAATTATAAAATTAAAAATATGAAATCATGATTTATGATATAATGAAGCATTTATGATCTAAAGGGTGTCAAAATTTACAGAAAGAGCTTAATATTTATTTGTTTACTTTATTAAACACTTCTTTGAATGTAAATTGTTTAAGTTGTTTGATTTTTTTTTTTTTTTTTTTTTGTGTGTGTGTGTGCTAATACTTTCTCTTCAATTTTAGAAACAGACATAATTTCTTGTGCAGTTACAAAATTCTATTGTTCAAGGTCATGTAGTTGCTGTGTCAAGAATTCCGATTAACTTGTCAATCGAAATTTTTTCATTTTCAATAACCTCTCTGTCACTTTTTTCAGTACCGGAAGCAGCATTTTCTGGATCTAGAACCATACTACCAATTTCACTGCCCATTAATTGATTGATGATTGGAGCCTTGCCATCCGAATGAAAAACTACTGTTATATCATCTTCATTTACTACCACTTCTTCACGTTTCTTTACAAAATCCATTAATTGGAAAATTTCACCTTTGGTTTATGATATCAAAAAACCTTTAGATTCACAGATATCATCTTCATCAGTCTCACCATAAAAATATAGTTGGCCATAAATTATGCCAAGCACTTTTTAAGGTATCTGGAGACATCTCCTTACGATCTTGTGATGCTCCACACAGCTTATTTTATACTAAAATATTAAAAAAATTCTTGAATAGTCTTGCCATTATTCAAGAAATTTAATATGGATTGTAAAAATTCTACTTTATTTGCATTTCATCGTGAGCACTATTCCGATATTCAAAGGCTAAATGATGGACATACAGTTTGGAGGAAAGAATAACACGGATACATTATCTTTCATTAAAACTGAAACGAAATGAAATTTAAGAATTGGAATTCTCCACATTTTCTTATGGGGAAAAAATCAAATGTCCATGCGTAAAGCATTAAAAAAATGTTTGTTGGTGACTTTAAGGTCTGGATCTTGAACTTTGTACTGTATAAAATTACAGTAGACTTATTTGAGATTAACAGAGATTTATACTTGTTAATTGTGGATTACTATTCAAAAAAAAAATTTTTTTTTAAACCTACAAATTACTGGATGCTTGAAATCAGACAGTGATCAGTTACATGGAATCTCATTTTGCAAGATATGATAAAAGACTTCAAATTGTAACTAAAGAATCACTATCTGGAGCCAAATGGATTAGCAGGGTATTCAGTACAAATAGAAAAATAGTTGAAAAAAGATTGAGTAAATCATGATAATACTTTCTTAGCACTGCTATATCCTAGGAACACTCCAATTAACAATTCATTAGGATCACCAGTTTAATGACAGAACAAGAACACATCAAAAGAATTATTAAAACTAAGTCGTGAAAATTATAAAAGAAAAAACCAACCAGGAAAGAAACAAGCTGAACTCATATTATGATCATTATACAAAAATACTACAATCACTATGCAAAGGGGAGTATATCAAGATAACCATTGGAAACCAGCAAATTGTAAAAAAGTATATAAGATATAGATCAAATATACTATGATCAGGGAAAGCAGTATTTGGAAGAAATCAAATGTTAGACATACCTAAAGAAAAAGGTACTTTTCCATTTTGCTGGCACAGGTGATAAAGTCGCCAAAAATGGTACAAACAATGCCAAACGGAATATCTTCGTTGGTAACCTTTTCCGCCTCATTTTCAAAACAAGTCACAGCCATTTCTTATAAGACTGACTGTTTCTTTGAATATTGGTATACAATTACATAGAATTTTTACCACATAGTTCAATTTTATGCCATAAGGCCATTCGCGGTAATTAAGTCAATTAGGATGCAATCACACCGCTCACCCGAAGGCAAAAATGTAGAAAAAGTAAAGTCAAGGGTTAAATTCATAATTTCTAATGAGAATGCACTAGCGAAGTAAAGCATGGTTTTACATAATTTTGAGTAAGCTTTCGTTGAATTGAAATAATTCTTGCATTTAAACCTGCATTCCATATTAAGATTTAACTTGAAATTAATGTAGATAATTACTGAGAGGGATTAGATTTTCGTAGCGTAGTTTATGAGAGATGGCATCACTTGGGGTCACATGATATGACCGGTGAATCAAGATATTGTACCACGAAAGCACAGTAAATTCTTAAACTGTCTCATTACAAATTTATTGTCTATATTTATTGCCTTTTTACAAAATTTTAAACGAAATTAAGATGTTCAAATTGAAAAAATTCTTAGAACTAACATTTGTTAACATTTTTTTTAATGTGTATACTGTGTGTTGTTGCCAATTAAGTCTGCTTGGCGAGATTTGCGCCAGCGAAACAGAAAAGTACCGAAACAGTTCAGTTTCTGAAAAGAGTATGAGAGGTATATAACAAGCAGCTACCACAAAGAAAACAGATGTAAACAAATGATTCCAGATTTTCTCAAGAGCAGATTAACTACCTTACTCCATAAGTTGGATGTAAGCGACAGTGAGCAAAGAACTAGAAGTGAGAGAGTGATTAGAAAGTCGGCCAGGTTTTTTTTTTTTTTTTTTGAAAAAAATTTTGAACTTTATAAAAAAGGGGGAAGATGTAAAATTTTGTGTTCAGTAACGTAAATGGCCATATTTAACATTTAGTTTTTAGTAACTTACAAACGGCAAAAAATTTGAATGTATGTAAAAACAGAACTATGGTAGTATAGCAGTTCTGTATAATATTTAATATCCTATGTTTATAAATAAATAGTTCAGAGAGTTAAATCACATTCTCTTTATTTTATATTGTAACCTTAATATTGTAGAGTGGAACTAGAGTTGCTAAAGTGACATCACTGCTCGTTGAACAGTGATGCTCAGCAGTTCTCAACCTTTTGACTAAACGTGTACTATCTAAACAAAAAGTAAAAATCCTTTGTACCAACACTACATTTTACGATTAGTTTTCAATTTCTCAATAGAAATATTAAAATATATATATATTTTTCCATTTGCACAACCTA